CCCTCTCTGCGTCTTCGATCTCTTGTTCCTTTCTCAAGATATCAAAGACACTCTCGACCCAGTCATTCATCGTTTTGATCTCCTCTTGCCTCATGCCTTCTTTGAAATTTCGGGTAGCCATCTGCCTTAATGTTTCCATGACAGCTAACAGGTCTGCCCTGACTTGCTTCTCGGGTTTAATAGAGTCAAGACGGTCAGGCAGTTCATGCGCTGTGTAGTAGATTTTTGCCGCGCGGATTGCCAGCGTAACAACATCGAGAATATGCATTCCTTGCAGCTCAAACCACCCTTGCGTGTTTTCCGCTGGCATGTTGGGGTAATCGGGGCCACTGGACGTTGCCTCGTAAGTACCGGTTCTTCGCGCCTCAACTTCATTCAGTGCCTTCTTAGCGTCGCCAAGCGTTTGCTCGAGTTCTAACTTGAGCTCCAGAATGGTAGGTGGCTTGGGGACCACCTTTTCACGATGGTGATACGTACTCACAGTCGGTGGGAGCATATCACCGCCAAGGTCACTGAAGTTGTCCTCATAATAATCATCCAACTCCTCGATAGGAGACTCAACAAGGTCGGTGCCGAAGCCCTGGGAGCTGAAATCTGGGCTGCTGTCGGTAGAGGCGTATGACGAGTCAAAATCCGAGCCAACGATCTTGGGCAAAGCTTCGGCATTCGTGTCCAAAGAAGAGAGATCCAGAGTGGCGCGCTGCTGTTTCTTCCTGGCCAGTTGCCCACCTTTGCCGTCGAGTAAGCCTGTTCGAGCAAAATAGTACTGCAGATGCGCGATGCTGCCTAGGCTCATCACGCTCTCGCGGGATCGGGCGCTAGCGGCAAAATCAGTTCCTTGTGGCCGCATATATCCCCGTCGGCGACTCCTGCCGTCAAAGTTATAACTGGAGTGACGAGAAATGGCCGAAATATCTGAATGGCGATTCTTCAGCGTGCTAGTGTCGAGGCTTCCGGTGGAATGGCGGTTGAACTTCTCTATGCCCAGAGCATCCCGAGGATTGGCATCGTTACTGCCATGCGACCAAGACGATGTCGTCGACAAGCAGCGAGAGAGCTCTGGGCATGCGCCGATAGCTGGTGTTGGGAGAGCGTCTGGAGGCGGGGAGTCGCAGCGAAATGACGGTGTCTGATCGTTGGTGGTAGCCATCATGCTATAGATGCTATGCTATGCTGGTACCGTGCTAAACAAAAGAGAGTGCAGAGCTTGAAATTGATTTATCGATGGGTCGTAGTACAGTAATCGATCGACCCTCGCGAGATCAACCTTTTGACCTTTGACGGTGACGTTGTGTCTGTGAACAATGATCTGCACTTACACAGATTCACAAAGACGAGAGATGAGGTCCCACACGATATCTCGGAATAGCTTGGCCTAGAAATTGGGACTTGATAATGGATCAGCCCGGGAACTGCGACTGGGTTGCGCTGCGGCAGAGGGACAATGATCGAGAGAGCGAATAACAGAAAAGGCGAGGATCGAATATAATACGCAGTGATCGAGGGGTAGCAAAGACAGAAGACAGAACAGCGAGACAAGACAAGACGAGACCAGGTAAAGAGGGGGGAGGAATTAGATTAATTAAAAAAGTTGACGGCGACAAGATGGGAAGGGGAAATTCAATGGATGAATGATTTCCAGGGGGTTTCCAACGGCGATGGGGCGACCTGATGCCTGGATACAGTCAGTGGTTGGCGGGACAGGCATGGGCACGGGCAAAGCCAGGGTAAAATTACACATCCAGTTCTCCAATTCTCACGGATACCGACTGGACAGCGAAGGGCCAACGCGTGACAGGGGGTGATTAACAGACGATGGAGAAGCTAAGCTGCTGGTCGTAAACAGAGCAAGGATTGAAGAAAGATTTCGTGTTTTCCAGAAGCCGCGTGTCGTCAGGGTTTATTATTGGTAGTAGAGCAGGAACAGTAGCAGTAGCAGTAGCAGGAGCCGGAGGGAGGTAAGAGGGGGAGAGTCGATAGATACGTTTTCTATTCGTTTATCGTGATGGTGGTTTGAGATGTACCTAGAGTCGACAAAGGGCCATCAGGTATTTATTTTGCATGGCTTGGGACAGAAGAGGATTGAGATCGGCACCACAGACGCCAAAGACAGGGAAAGAAGCTGGCATAAATGGCAAGGCCGTCCTGTAAGCCCTTCAACTGAGAGAGCTTGAATAAGAGGCCGTGGACTGGACACAACTGACCACTTGTTCCCTAAGCTTGGGACAATTGGTAGTTACAGTAGCGTTTATCAACACGACAAATTGCACGCTCAGATGTCAGGGATGAGGAAATAGATGGGGCCAAGGGGAGGATCGAATATGGAGCAATAGCATCGGCATCATTAGTACAGCAGCGAAGCTCCTTTATTAATATCACAATTGTCGATAACCGACAGCACGCCAGTATCAATTATATCCCCGGGCAACCTGCAATTGTACAAGAACGGATCGTGAGTTTGCAGATTCAGAAGGCTAGGCCTCTAGCACAGGCTTTATCGGACATGCTAATCTCCTCCAGGTTGATTGGAATTCTTACTTGCGCTGCACTGGGCCCGTTGCTATGGGCATCAGCAGTTACGAGTTTCAAACTTTCGTTGGAACTCCATCCCGATGACGACAAGGAGTCGCTTACAAGAAAGCTCCGTGCTCAACAAAGGCCATTGGACCCCCCGTGAAAGTCGAACCTGGGGCTCGGGACGGGCCCGATGGTTAATTCTTCCGTTATTAGGTTCATGCACTTTGAAATGCACACTTCCACTATCAGCCAGTTGTTACAGCTCAAGCTCTCCGGCCTCTAACCGTAATTACTGAATGAATAGATACCTCTGTGCATATTGCGTCTATCGTACGGTGTATTGCCGGTTTTCCTTTGTCTTTTTTAAGGTTTATCAATAAGCAATTCTGGCAAGATTGGAGTTTTCTGACAACCCCTGCCAATTATCATCTAACAAATGGCATATTACATATGCTCTATTACAACGTCTTCCCCAGAATAGCTTCTCTTCGTGGCTCCGTACAACTCATGCTAGCTAATTCGAGACTGAATATCCGTACATGTGATATTCTGTTCCCAGTCAACTAATTGTCCACTTTACAAGCTTCCTTTATAAGCAACCTGGATCGACAGCAGCCTATCCATGAACAGGTCGATATACGCTAATTCTGACCGGCTGCTGCTAGGCGAGATCATTGACCAGGGACATAGCTCTTCAGACGATTCGCAAGCAAATCAGAGGCAGCCTATAATCCAATCCCGGCAGTTATCCCAGGTCAGCGTGCGTCAATCTAGCATACTACGTAGCATGTAATATGAACATCGTCCTTTCTTGCGTTCAAGTATTGTACACAGATAGAGAGACGAGCCTACGAGCAGTTGGGTACTGAATTCAAAAACCTCGATTTGTACTCCTTTCTACGGGCTTCTTGTCTATTTGCAGAGTCCTAAGAGAAACGACTCCCTGTTCATCTGAGCTTGTACCCGTTGCTTCAACGACAACGACACCTCATAAACCTTCCTTACACTGAGGGCTTTGACTTTTAGTGGCTTCCATCTTACCTCGTTTGGCCTTTCTCTTTGGCTATCGTTCTGATTGCCGGATTGAGATTAACTTTTATTGTTCACTCTTAGTTAGTAGTTATTCTTTTTTCCCATGGCCGGGTTTCTTAATACAAACAGAGCTCCCATGTTAGGTATTTTCGCCGGCCTTGGCTACCAACCTTGTACCTGCCGAAACCTAGCCTAAGGTACCGTACCTTATTCCATGCCTCTGGCCCTTCCATTTAGGTATCCTCATCTAAAATGTCACCACCAATCTTCAAGACTTTAAGTTGACAGCAAGATTTTCTTCTACCTGACTACCTGCAAGCGTTTGACTACAAACTCACACTTCTTTGTTGGTTTTTCTCTTGTCCCGCCAACTACAACTCTGTCTGTCTCCGCTTATGATAGTCACTTCATCTTGGACACATCTTGTCCCTCTCTTTTCAAATACTCTGTCGGAAACTTTGGCCCCCTTTTATCTCCATCTGACACTCTCTGTCCCTCCATCTTCATCGGTCAATAGCCGCGTTGCTCTCGTTTGATTGAGCTCGAATACTTCGGTCCCGTCGGAACTTTCCTCTCGACAACACTTGGTCCGATTGTTCTTGTTGTACTTTTCACCAGCACACCTGTCCTGCCGATGTGCTTATCATTTGTCTACCTATTTGAGCTAGGCGAGGTTATAGCTTGACGTCGAGACGGCAGCTCCTAATCGACTCAAACGGCAGCGTAAACCCTTTTGACTGTTCATTGCTGATTCACTAGAGGTTGCTTCTGTTGTTGCAGCTACTCCTACACTCCCTCCTGCAGCAGTCTCTTACCCACGCTTCTTGTGCACTGCCTTACCTCCAATCAGTGGCTGGCAGTCTAGTAATCTCCGCTACAGAGGACCCTCAAAACTTGGCCGCTAGCTCCACCCAAGCTATCATTGACAGCGACCCTCAGCCCATCCATCACATCCTAGATGTGCATGTGCATGTGAGAGCGTCGTATTCATTCGACCACTCTCCCTCCAACTTTCCGCCCCGACACTGTCATTGGGGTTTGTATTGGCCTCAGCGATCACGGCTGCTCGATACCATGACAGTTTGATAGCGCACGGTTGGGCCAGAGTGATTAGTGGCACTGAAAGGCAAGATACTTGTCTCAGGGAAATAGAGGGAGAGATTCTGAGTGCATAAGGACACTCTGTGACAGTTACGCAGAAAAGGTTGGAGATTTCACGCCTCACCAACAATCATCCAATCTGTCCTGTCTTGGGTTTTTTCTTTTCTTCATCTGCCCATTGACGGGTTACAAAGAAGAATTCGCTTCTGAATCTCGAGTGCAAACTCCATTCAACAAATCCTGGCTTCTGGGACCTGGATCTGCACTTCATAACTTGGACTAGTACAACCAATTTCTTACCCGGTTTCCAGCTGTCCCTCGCTTTTTGAGGGGCCAACTCCAACGATTAGATGAACACCAGCGATTTGAACACGACGACTTCAGCCGTCAAAGATAGCAACGACAGCGACTGGATGTCAAAGGCTGATCCCTTTTTATCAACGCCTGCTGCAAGCCCTGAAACTAACCGACCTGCCGACCTGGGCGAGCTTGCCAGCGGCAACTGCTACAGTGACCAGGACCATGATGTGCCCACGGACAGCCTGCTGAATTTCGCTGATGTCCCTGGTCAACTATCTCACCTGCCATTCAACAACCCTGGTTCAGCCAATCCCTCCTGCACCTACACCCCAGATCCTAATTCCAGCTTGCTCACTTTCTCGTCTTCCATTATTGACACAACTCCGACTTCTTCTGCCTCGTCTGTCACTGATACGCCCACGACTAGCACGACTGTCGTTGCCTCAGCCGCGATAACCCCTGCCACGATAACAAAAACAACGTCAACGTCAACAAACGCCCTTCTCCCGTTTCCTACTCCAACGTCACCCCTACCATCATCTGCTCTTCGCAAGACCTCACCAGGATTAGCTGCCCGACTTAAAGCTTTGGGATTTGGCGCCCAAAAATTCTCTACGCCCCCGATAACGCCTCAAAACGATCGTATCGGCCGTCTAAACGAAGATCAGCTTCGAGAGCTCGACGAGAAGCACCAAGCGGGTTCGGTCAAATCGATCATCGCCCGGCGCGGTCGCCCGTGGAAGGGCGCCGGCGCTTCTTCCTCACCAAAGCCCGTCGCCCAAGACCCAAATCTTGAGCTACCGCCGTTCAAGGTTGAGATTCCCGATTCTACCGTGGCCTTGTTGCCCGAGATTCAAACCCCCGAACCCCTGGACATGGACACTCAAAAGTATCGGCTCCCTGACCACACCAACGGCAATGGGACAAAGGTCACCCTGGACACTCGCCGCGAACACATCGAGCGCACCACACGCCCTCCGTCTCCTGATAGTGCAGGCCTACCTCCTCCGCCACCCCCGAAGGATACACCACCAATCGCAACTTCGACGCCGGCTACACCCCCGACCGACTACGTTCCTAGCCTCAACTCATATTTCACACCTGGCCATAACCGCCCCGGTTCGATATACACGCTATCGCGCGCTTCTTTTGCCTCTCAGCTTGCTCAATTAACGTCACTGCAACTCCCAGATGCGGAATCGCTAGCGAGCCAGGTTACCGCAATTCCAACGGCTCAGGTAGCTGCCAAAGCCCTGATCAACGCTGCCGAGCAAATCAGGAGCTGGATATCCAAGGCATCGGAGGTCGTGGAAGGCCTGGATAGCGAAGATGATGTCGAATGGGCTGCAGCTGGTGGTCGCGAGGGCCTGGCTGAAGTCGAAATGGCTATCACTCGCTTTGAGGAGCTTGTCAAAGCCTACGTTGGAGCTATCGAGCAGTTGCAGAACAGAAAGGACGTTGCTAATGTATCTGTGTCAGACCTAACCCAAGCTGTTTCGCAAATGGAGTCGGTCATTCATGAGTGGGAGAAGATCCGCAGGACGCTACATGTGGTAAGAGCTCAGGTGGAAATAGCTATGGAGTGGGAGGAACTTTGGAACAACGTTCTCGGAGATGTACAAGGGGAAATGGACGAACTCAGCAGATTGGTATTTGAGATGGAAGAACGGCGACACAAGAGCTTGATGGCTGCCAACGCTGACAGTGTTGACATTGGGGACCTTGAGACAATCGTGGAAGAGAACCCTATTCAGGCAGCTCGATTGCAGGCCCCAAGTCGCTATAGCCTTCCGACCTTTCCAGTAACACCTAACTCACCAGGCACGCCCACCTTGTCGCAGGACGACTCGAGTTTACTGGCTCTATTTGCTCGAATGCAGCCCTTGAGGGCATCTCTCGACTTCCTGCCGATGCGGCTGTCCATGTTTGAGGCGAGGGCCGAGCCATCGTTTCCTACAGCCTGCGAGGAGCTAAACATGCGCCGTGAAGGACTTGATGCTAGCTACAAGAAGCTCGAGAAGGATGCTGAGTCACTACGCAAGGAGTTAGGAGAGGATCGATGGGTTATTGTTTTCCGAGGTGCCGGTAGGCAAGCACAGAAGATGCAAGAGTCTGTCGAGCGCTCTCTCCTCAAACTTAGAGAGGCTGCCGACTCCGGTATGCATCTGACTAACCAGCCTGCTATGATGAAGAAGTTGGAAAGCTACGAGGCCAAAAGAATGCATTATGGGCCAGCCATTGAGCGCGTCCTCTCAATCATCGACAAGGGTGTCAGCGAGCGGCTAACAGTTAATGGCGAAATTTTGCGTTTGCATAACGATATGCAAAATAGGTGGCAGGCTTTGAAGCAGCAGATGAAAGACGCAGAGTCATTGATTGAGGAAATTCATGCTGATAAGGGTCAGCAGCTGCGGGATTCCATCTCCAGTATGCTCTCAAACGATCGCTCAACTTTAGGTAGCGGACGTGAAACCCCCGGCAGCTCACCACCATCGTCAGTTATCATGTCGAGTTTGGGACTGGATCCTCATACGCCATTATCAAAAAACCCAAAAGTACGGGCTACGCCAGGTGCTGGCAACCGCCAAATTCCTTCGAACCGTCGGCACTCTTCACTGCCAGCACCAACATCACAAACAAGCAGGAAATCGGGTTTCTCTCGTCTTTCCACTATTCCAGGCTCTTCGTCTACTACCAGTCTGCCGCCCAGCCAGATTAAACGGCCAGATTCGAAGCTTGCACACCGCCCACGTTGGAACGCGTCGACAAATACGTCCGATGTTGATACTGGTCACAACTTTAAGCCTCTTACACTAACGACACCGAGTCCATATGCCAAGAGCCCTGTCGCACACAAATCCGCTGGCTCAACTACCCCAGGTTCAAGCACCTCGAAGCTACCGACATTGCGCAGCCCTCTAGCACGTGCCTCATCAGCGTCTCCCAGAGTCGACGAAACGCCCACTAGAGCTAGTCACTCGAACCTCTCTTTCCGGGAGAGGCTTGCGTCCCCTGGTGCAAACTCTCAGCCATTGCCGAAGCCACGCCTGGCTTCTCATCAATCAACAACGGCCCTCTCCGGCAGACGCTCGTCTCTACAGGCCTCAAGATCTATCGGACCTGATGGAGACCGGCACAGCAGGCCTGCTAGCTCTCTTGCTATGTCTTCAAGGAGGATTAGTCTTCTTCCTCAGCCCACAGAAACCGGCCGGGCCAGCCCTGCCTCTGTCTCGAGTGTTCGGTCTACAATGCGTAAACCTTCTCCAGCTGAACCGAGAGATTCAAAGCCCAGATGGAGGCATTGAGAGCTGTACACCTCTACTGCAGCATAGGCTGCTAACAGCCTCGCCCAGGAACGATGCTTTCCGTTCCAATGTAACATCACATTCCATCGAGTTGACTTCGTTATACGAACCTCTCAACATTATCAAAGAGCCTGGCGTACCATTTACGAAATAATTCTTTTCTACAGCAAGGCGTACCGGGTTCACATCAAGACGGTTGACGGAGTTTGGGGCATAACTTAAGGGATGGCACAGTCTTGCTTTCTCGTTTTCTTTGTCTGGACTCCGTAGTCCCCGGCCATGAGTCAAACTCTTTCGCTCGATATTTTCTTTCTTTTTGTGCCAAATTGTGCACCATGTGCTGTAATTAGGACGGAGAAGAAGGAAGCTAAGTGGTAATCTAGGCTGGCACAATATTGCTGCATCGTAACATTCGTATCATGCTTCCGCTCGACGAGCTGCCTGTCTAGATGTAGAAAGAACTCTAATCAAAGAAGCAAAGGGTTCTATGCAAACAGTCCCAAAAGCAGAACCTTGCTGGCTGGTCCATAGTATGATTTCTCTGTTCATCTTGTTATGTGCATGTTGTGACAATCAGGTTTTATTTTCCTCGATGCCATGGCACAGGTGCCTTACTTAGCTACCTCGATGTATAAAAGCAAGCCTAGACTAATGCAAAGCTCCTTGTTTATGCGTGCATCCCAGAAACGCCGAGGGTTGTGTGGTGTATAAAATCGAAACGAGTTGAAGCCCCCAATCGCCGCCCATGCAGAAGAAACACCATCAACTCCCGCCCGCTCAAAAATCACTGTCATCTATCTAGGTACCTAATGTTTGGAGTCTCGATTCTTCAAAGCTTCGTGGGAAAGGGGTATGATCATAAAAGGGAGAAACAAGTGCCCATGCATGTCATTGAAATGTTCATCATCCATCCTCCACTTCCTCCCTACCAATTGTATCCGTATCCATCTCCATGTTCTAATAGTGTCGGGTTTGTGGATCAAAAAAGAAAGGCGCACTTGATCTCTGCTCTACATGGGCATCAACCCTATCCCGCTCTTCTTGAGCGTCTTGGGGGCTGGGCCGGAGGTTCTGCCTACTGTCGATGAGCCGCTAGCTTTACGGCTGGAACTGGCACCAGTACTTCTGCGTTTTGTCACGCCACTTGCAGGTTTCTTGCTGGGGTATCTTTTCCCTCCCGAGTACCTCTTCGTACCCCCGCTGCTCTTACTAGACGCTCGCGGCTTGGCCTGAGTCTGTGTGCTGCCAAGGGTCTGAAGCCTGCTGTGAAATGCCTGCACATCTGGCCTGGAGCTGCCGTTGAAGTAGTGCGAATCCTCGCCGTCTTCGTCCTCAAGGGCCTCATCATCCATCTCGACTTCCGAGCTGATAAGGTCAACCACGTCCTGATCTCGGCTACCACTCCGAGGATCCATGGCTTCTCGATAATGGTTGTAGTGTTTTTGCAAAATGCGGAGGATCCGAGGGCCGTAGTCGTTGACTTTGTCGGGGTCGATGCTTGGGATCCTCCGCATCTTCTCGGGGGAAGTAGTCCAGTGAATAGCCATGAGTCGGAAATCCTTTTCGGTAAACAAAGGCCTTCTCAAGCTTTTCTGGTTGCGAATCTTCTCTTCTGCTTGCTTTGCTTCCCTTACAAAACTTTCCACCATGTCTCGGTGTATTTCATCCAAGCTTCCCATGTCGGTATCGGCCAATATGGGCGGCCCGGAAGTGCGAGAGGGTGGCTTCGCCGGCCGATGTTGGGGGAGGTTATCGAAAGCGTCGTCATAGTCATCATCATCGTCCATTACAAAACCTGCATCCTCCCACGAGTATGATGTTTGCCCAGTATTCCCGCGATTAGTCTCGGTCGTCCGCGACTTCTTTTTCTGCCGGCCGACAGGCGAAGAAACGTACGTTGAGGGCATATTCGAGGCTTCTTCCTCGACCGATGCCTTGCTGCCTTTCTTGGAGCGAGACTTGGGGGTTTTCTTGGCTGTACCAGGCTCCGGCACCTGAATCGACAGCATCAATCTACGTTGACCCGAGAGGAACGATCGATAAGTTGGTCCGAGACGTAGATATTGAATCGCCATGCCATGGCGACCAACCTGGTTATCCTCATTGAAAGCCTTTTCGGCCGATAACTTGTCGATGACTCGGATCAGCTCATGTTTCTTAAGGCCCTTTGCCATGCCATGCCACTCGTCAGAAAGTTCTGCTTCATTCGTAGGGTACTTTTTCCCCAAGAGGATGTCAGAGCATTGCACTGCCGTGATGCGGTTCTGGGCTTGGACAACTTTGATGGCAGCAACGGCATATTCAGAAAAGTCTTGTTGCTCGAAAGTCAACCCAGCCTTGCAGTTGTCGCAACTTTTTCGACATTGTGTTGCAGAAAAGTCTTCTCCAAAATAGCGCAGAATCTCAGTTCTTCGACAATCAGATTTGTTGTCACAAAAAGCCGTAACTCTGTTCAGCATAGACATTTGACGCTCTTTTTGATCGTGGCTACCATCTCCATCCGCAATCAGCTTCTTCAGGACTCTTATGTCCGCCTTTCCATAGAAAAGAATGCAGTCAGAAGGATTGCCGTCTCTGCCTGCGCGGCCAGTCTCCTGATAATAGCCTTCCAGGCTCTTTGGAAGACCATGGTGTATAACGAACCTCACATCAGGCTTGTCGATGCCCATTCCAAATGCGATTGTAGCAACCACAACTTTAACCTGTCCTCTCTGCCAGGAATTCTGAACGTCAACCTTTTCCTGAGGTTCGCAACCTGCGTGATAAAACCTGGCCGTTATGCCTTTACTCGAGAGGCTTTCAGCAACCTTTTCAGCGTTCTTTCGTGAGATTGTATAGACAATTCCACTCTGATTTGCATATCTGGAATGTATAAGAGAAGAAATTGCGTCCATAACCTTCTCGTTTGTTGTCTTCGTCCGGACTTCGTAGTACAGATTCGGGCGGTTGAAGCTTTGAGAGAAAGTCTGGCAGTTGTCCATTCCAAGGTTGTGCCTGATATCGACAATGACATTCTTGGTCGCGGTGGCTGTGAGGGCCATAACAGGCACTCCTGGGTACTTTTGGCGTACTTGACCAAGTATCTTGTAGTCTGGGCGGAAATCATGGCCCCATTGACTGACGCAGTGTGCCTCGTCGATCACAAGACGTGCGAATTTCCCTTTACGATGAAGCGTTTCCAGCCCGTTGTTGAAATTGACATTTTTGCTCACCATCTCCGGGGTAACATATAACAGTTCCAGAAAGTGTTCCGGGCTTTTCTCATTGAAGGCACTCATGACTTGCCTCTTGTATTCAGCTGAGCACTCTCCATTGAATGCAACGGCCTGTATCCCCAAAGCTTTCATATGATCAACCTGATCTTGCATCAAGCTGAGCAATGGTGACACAACAATTGTGACACCACGAGTTTTTCCAGTCTTGACAACAGCCGGCAGTTGGTAGCACAGTGACTTGCCACCACCTGTCGGCATTAGTACAAACGCATCTTGGCCTCCAAGCGTAGCGTTGATTGCCTCGAGCTGGTTGCAACGGAAACCCTTCATTCTGAATCGATCTTTAAGCATCCTCTGGACTTCGGATGACCATGGGTACTTGAGCAGCTGAGCAGGGATCGCTTCAGAAGCCATCAAGGGTAGCGACTTTTTTGATACTGCTCGTGACTTTGCCGCTGCTGACGCATTACCCGACGTCTCTGAAAAGATCATCCTCTGGTCTTGCGATTCGGGTGCCAGAGATTGACGGATCTCGTAGTCCTGTGCAAAAGCGAGCATCTCCTCATCGTCGCTGAATTCACTGAATTCATCGCCCGCTCGGTGATGTGTCGCATGTGGCATCCGTCGGCTACTGCTACTCAGATGCGCGAAGATGTTTGGAGGGCGGGCCTGGGTACGAGACCGAATGTCTTCCGAATCCGATGGCTCTTCGTCGCTGACACCAAACTCTACATCCACAGGGATGGAGCTTACTGGCCTAGACTTAAGTATCCGACCTTGCTGATAGGGACCCTGTTGATAAGGCGCTCCTGATGCTCTTGTAGGATCTCTTGGCAATAGTGCAGAAGGGTCGTCATCCTCCTGTGAAAGAACGCTCAGCCCTTGCGATGCTTCAATTCTAGAGGCTGGGGGGTTCCAAGTGTTTGTTTTGGGTAACTGGGTCTGATGAACCACTTGTGTGCCCGTCTCGCTGGCTGGGATGGCATCTCGCGAAGTCATCGACATATTGACATTGTTTTGAAAGACGGGTTGAGTACCTAGCACGACAACTGGAGCAGGCACTGGAGCAGGGTGTAAGACCTTAGTGGTCGCAAGAAACCCACCAACATCGAGCCTAGCATCCCGAATGCTTTTAAGGAGGCCATCCTCAACTTCTTGGATTTCATCCGTAAGATCATCTAACCGAACCTCGTCCTCATCTGTATCGAGACTCTCCTCATAGGCTTGAGCGATGTGCTGGGCCAGACTCTCTCGTTTCTCGCCGAGGATTCTGTATTCTTCGACTGGGCCAGCGAGTTCCGCGATAGCAGATCGTTGCCGCTTCAGACGCTCCTTCTCAGCCTTGACCTCTGCACGTTGCGGTTTCGACCATCTTTCGTTTATTGCCTGCGAAAACTTCTTTCCATTTTCCTGAATGAGTCTATCGAGAAACTCCGCCCAATTGACCAAGGCATTTGAGTCGGAAGCCAATTGCTTGAGGAGAACCGGTTCTTGGCTGGAGGGAAGAAAGACGCCGCCACATGACTCGTGAAGAGCATCGCCAGCTATCGGCCTATTAGACTGTGGGCTGTTTGTTGTGCTTGTTGGCTCGCCAGTAATAGTTGAGCCGGACGAAACTTGACATTGGGAGGTCGTGTGGAGGTCAATTTTGACAGCAGATATGGGAGGCTTGAGTTCCGGCGATTCAACGTTGTCGCCTCCGACCGTTGAAGTCTTCAGAATAGTGATAGAGTCATTATGAGACGGCGGTGTAAGAAACTCGTCATCAGAGTCGGGAATAACTAG